AGATATTGACCACAACAGTATGCTCTTTATGAGGACATTCAGGTCTCAATATTGGGATATACTTGCTGTCTCTGGAAGCCAGTTTGTGTTTGTCTCATAGAGAAAACTTGATATGTCAGAAAGTTGTGAAAATAATGCCCAAGGCCTTGGCATCCTGTTTGATTAAATAGGACATTAGGAAACTCTTTGCGGATGCTAACCCTACCCAGGGTTTCCCCTTATTTTGTTATTGAATGTTTTTCTAATCTATTTACTGTAACAACAATGGTGACATAAACAACAACAAAAACCTTCTCCTTATTCTTAAGGTGTTGAACTCACTGCCTCATTTTTCTCTTGGTGTGTTTAATCTTCAACTCACACACACACACACACACACACGCACACACTCCTCTTTCTGTGCTGCTTTTTTTACACTATACCCTGGGACAGATTGTGTGTATGTGAATAAGTTTCCTTATTAATTCCAGGTAGATCCATGGTGAAGGCTGACAAATCCTGCTGAAGTTAGTCAGTGACTTTATGACAAATATCTGCCTGCTGTTAGAAATGTGATATCACGCAACACAACATTTAGATGTTTGTTCTCCGTGATGCGAAAGTGAGTACTGAATTTTCCCCCTTTGTAAACCATTTGGTTGTCATGTAGACTCAAGCCTTTTAAAGAGAATAACAGAAGCACCCTGTTAATTTGTCATGGAAACTGATGAATCTGGACCTCACAGTCCATTAGGGAGACAGACATGTATGCAGGTCAATTATGATAAACGTGATACAATAAGGATGTGATTCTAGTTATATAGGACTACCTTATAGTTTACATCATTTTTTCATATCTATTAGTTTATTTGATCCTCACATTCTGGTGTGCATGCCAGGAATGAAAATCCTGTTTCACAGATGGGGAAATGGAGGAAAAGAGAATTACATGTCCTGTTTAGCCTGAGTCATAGCTGAGAATTAAACCAGTGCACTTTCTCTCTTACATGGTGCTCATTGCTTGCCGAGTCAGAAAGGGATTCTTTTATGTTTGACTCTAGGAGAGCAAGCAAGACACTAAAATATTGTTTGATAAGAGAACAAACAATAGAACAAGTTGGTTTAATAACAGATTTATTTCCAGTGTCAAGTGTTCTGCCATTTTCACAATACCGATCAATTTCCCAGAGCATCTGAGCAGAAAGACCATCCATTTTGGCTTCTGTGAAATAGATATGATCTTTTGCATCTTGATTCTTTTGAGACCTTCCTCACAAAGAGTAGGCCCCATTTCGGGTTGTTCCTCATTACTCTTATGGATGATGTGTTCAGCTGCAAGGGCACCGTTCTTATAAATAACAAGACGTCAATTAACACTCTCCTCAACTCTTAGGAGTTAGAAGCCTCCCAGGAACATCCATTTCAGGAACTTTCATTTCAAAGGAAATGCCGTCAATAGGAAATAGTTATTTAAATTCCAAGCAGGCTGAGAGCTTTTCTATTTGAGAGCTTCTACACAAATATAAGTGGATTATTATATTAATCATTTAAAATAAAGTAGTTGAGGCAAGAAACTGCCACAGAATAAAAACAAACCAAAAAACCCACCCCACATCAAGAAAAGCACATTTAAAGCAAATCTTAACAAATGAGCCCTTGAGTTTTGCTGCCCCCTGTCCGTGAGACAGATGTATTTGCTAGGAAGCCCTATGCCCTTATTTGGCCACCCCCATGTCTTTTAGTGCAATAGAGAGAAGAAGCATGAGCCTGGTATGGCAGAAATTTTGTGAAGTTTGGAGCAAGACTCCAAGACAGACTCTGGTTATAAGAGAGTAACCCTTTGTTACTAACATCACTGGACCAGAGAAAAAGATGCCTGTTTCTAGACAATCCATTTTCTCTCCATCAGAGCTCTCTCTGTGAAAGAACACCATTGGTTCCAACATCAAGATGCTGTGAAAAAAACGGCTGTAAAGCTTTTGAAAGCAGCTAGTTACCTTGGGAGGTTTTATTCACTAAGCAAAAGACAAACTCCATTTTGAAGTTGTCAGCATGGACCAATAATGATACTTAGATAAACTCTACTATGGGTGAATTAAGAATTGGTGTAATAGATTTATTGATTCCCAGAGAGTTTCAACTGAGGCAACTTCCATTTGTATCACTGGATTTCTTCACAAACTCTGTGCTGTCATCCTAGGTAAAGTGATCCCAGCTTAATTGACAATTGTCTTCTTATAGGCAGTTTATGTAGGAGATGCTGCTCATCACTCACAGCCACATGGCAAGGAGAACATAGATCTGCAGTAATGCATGTGGACCATTTCACATAGTTGAAGTGGGGAGATGCTCACGCACATCCCAGCCCACTTCCTTTAGAAGGCAACCAAATACTGAAGAAAGAGCTATTTGAAGTGTAAAACTGCCCACTATGGGCTATTCATGAAACTTGTAGTGAGCCAAACTTCTCTTTTGCAATAATTTAATCAAATGCATGCAAGGGTTTGTCTTTAGAGGACTTCAGAATGATGTCAGATGAACACTTAGGGATGCTGGCTAGAGAGTTCAACTCTAAGGTTTCCTCCAACCCTGAGGTTTTATTATAAAGTTATCCTATGCGTTCTTGCTCTAGCTCTGCTCTTGATTTTGGTAATCTGAAAAAATAAATTGGAAAGTCCTTTCTGACTTAAGAATTTTATGGCTGTTCTGTTCTTTGAGATCAGTGGAAAGCATTATCTTGCCGATAAATTCATTGGAGGCAAGTCACACTCACCTTGGCACAACTGATTATTTCTTTCTTAATAGAAAGTCAACATCTTTTCACGAGAAGAGCTATTTGTATAATACATTTTCTGAAACCTCCACGACTCAAGAAATAAAAGATTCTTTTTCACGTCCTTTCAGTATAAGGAAGGATTTCTCAACTATCAATATAAACTCAGGCCAGAAAATGGGGAATATGGAGATAATAAACAAAGTTCACCCCAATTCCATCTTCATAACCCAGCTATTATGACTTGTCCACCTTGTCCATGCCATATCCATAGTGTCTTGAACAGTGCCTTGTCCATAATGGGGCCTTAGTGCTATTTGGTAAAGGAATTAGTGAATGAATTATAATTTTGATATGTTTTCTTTTAATCCTTTCCCTCATGCATATTTTTCATAGCTATGTTCATGACGTTTATGATGGCTTTTGTACCTTGCTTTGTCTTTGTTTTATGTGTCATTGTAGAAAACATGCTCATTAGGGCCATACAGTCCTCTTAATCATTGTCTCTAATGGCTGAGTAATATAGCGAGCACTTTCTAATGTAGCTGCCTAAAGATTCATCATGTTGCTTACAGAATTGGTGTTTTCCTTAACCCTAGCAGTGTTCACACATAGGCTGGATACTCATGTATGAAGTATGAGTTGAACTAGATGCATGGCTTTAAGACCACTTTCTAGTCTAGGACTTATAAACTTTGAGGACCAGGCATTTTGCAAAACTAACAGGCTTTCACAAAACATCACTATCAGGAATAAAAGCATTTCCAAGAACCACCCCTTCCCACTCACACATCATATTCCTTGATGCCCACTACTAAGTTTGTAATGTAAATTTGAAAAACAGTGGAGCATTACTTCCTTAGAAATAGCCACTAGTTCAGAATTTCTTTCGGATTAACAAGTAATAAGTAAATTCATATGTGTCAGGTACATTTTGAGATGACTAAACCTCAATCTCTGATCTCACAGTATTCAGTTAGCAGTTATGAACACTGTATTAGGCATTGAGCATACAAGGATGAGAAAATACCTCTGCCCTGTGGAACTCAGAATTGACAATGAGAGGAAGGAGTTGAGGACTGAGATATAAACAAATAACCAAGAGAAAATCAGGTAAATGCTATAGAAGAGGCATGTGGAAGGGGTTGCCTTGACTCCCAAGAGAGCTAAGTTAATTCTGTATAATGTAGTAGTATCTGAGGTCAGAAAGCCAAGATATGTAGACTAACAACCTTTAACAAGGAAGAAAGAGCTAAATGTCTCAGGAGAGGATGGAGGAAACTGGGAGATTTTTTTATAAGAAAGAGGTTTTTTTTTTCCCCCCCGAGAAGTGTCCAAGAAGGATCCAGTGCCATGGGGCATCCAATTACACCTTGACAAGGGTTATGACTGGGTGTGAGGATGGTAAAAGGGTTCTATTATGATAGAATAAATCCGGTATATAATGTCTGTATTTAGATCCCCAGGACATGGTGTTTGCCTTTGTTTCATGGTTTAACTTTTTACCTTTTTCTTTTGGCCTTTTCATAGCCAGAGAAAGAATTCACAGCGCAGTCAGCACACCAGTGGGTCTGGTGTTGGTTTGGGAATGTATAAGTGAAACTGGTCCACCTTCGGCTGTGCTCTCCTTCCTTTAGAGCCAGACCAGCCGACCTGGCATCAGCACTGAAACTGTGCCCAGAGCCGCCTCCCTGCTGCTGCATGCCCGGTAGCCCCGCTTTTGCCTGGCCCAATGTACCTCTCTGGGAGACTGGCATTTCTTCCCATTGGGACATTACCTGCCTGGGCCTCCGGTAAAGAGCAAATCTCTATTAGAAGAATTCGGAATGGTTGCAGGACTCAGGAGCAGATGGCCTTCTCCCTCCTCTGGGAGGGAAGAGATGAACCCCAGAGGAGAAAGAGAAGTTTTCTCTTTCAGAATGGTAGAAAAATGTATCCTCATAGAGGCAGCCATAGATGACCATGGCAGGCAGTGCTCTTGGAGAAGGTCCACGGCAGACTGTGATGCAGAAGTGGACACGAAGGCCACAGCAGAAAGTGGCCCATACACACCATCATGGCTGTGGTGTATATTCTGGCCTGACACATCATGCCAGGCCAGAATCCTGAAGGTGCCAACAGGGACCCTGAGCTTAGTAGAAAACCTCAGTCCTAGCCTTCTGATTCCAGATTAAATAAGACAGTGGTAATAAAAAGCAATAACAGCAAACATATAGAGCCTTTTTTATGCACCAGGCCCTGTTGTGAGTGCTTTTACATACATAAATTCTTTATTCTGTTTAGTCTTTGTAGCAACTTTATGAGGTAGAAACAATTACAATCCCCATTTTAGAGAAGATCTATGAAAATAATGCCTGTAGTAGAATAAAAGCTTCTTTATATGAAGCACAGAGTCTTAGTTCTAGTAAACCTCCCAGGGCTTTTGTGGGGTTCAGATGGGATCACGTCTGCAAAGCTTTTGTGAATACTTTAAAGTGCTGTCCATACATGAGCGAGTCCCGCTGCATCATAGTTTCTCCTGCATTTCCCTTGTCCATTTGCTCTGAGCACCTACAAGGTGAATGGCATAAAGTCAATACTACAAGAGAAATCAGTGGAAGAGACCCAGCACCCCGTGAGTGATTGCAAAGGAAGGAAGATGGAGTAAGTGCCAGGAGGACAGCCCAAATAAGCTTTAAAACAAAAACAACCCAAAACCTTCTTTTCTGATTGAGAGTGGGGTGGAGGTCAGGAAAAGGCCTCTAGGGGAGATTGCTTCAAAATTAAACTTCAAAGGGTCAGTAACTCTGCGCTGTTCTGCCTTCTTCCCAATAATGACCTACCACTGAATATCCCGTGAATTCTTTCTTTTTTATTTTGTGTTGTTGGTGTTTTACATAATTTTAAGAACATGTTTGAAGCCCCAGATGAAAACAACTCTGTCAGTCCTATTTGGTCATCACAAGCAGACTTAAGCCACACAAACTTCCAGGGGCACCATTATCTCTTTATGAACAACGGACCATCAGGCCGATGAACCATGTTATTGTCATTCCACTCGCGTCTCTCAAATCATTTCTCATCTCGACTAATCAGGAGATAAAGTTGATCCTTCTCCACTTTCCGCCTCCATACTCATTTCAGTTCCCTGCAGTTTCACGCTGGGCTGGGCTGTTTGAAATCTAGTATAAAACACCCGAGAAGAGCTATAATTTTCAAATTTGCCCATGGGTAATGTGTGTAGTAAATGTAAAGTACTAGCAATTTGGTTGTTTGAGATGCAATTATTTTTTTTTTTTTTCATGTCAATGTGTAGGGTCTAAGGCAGGCACAAGTTTCCAGAGGCAACATATATCACTGCTGGCCAGACTGCTGGGAGTCCATGGGGGTCACCCAAACAAGGAAGGGAGGAGGCAAAGTGAGGAAACCAAGGGCCCCCTCAATGCTGATCCCTGTGGAAGTTTTAACACAAGACAGTGGGAGGGGGGGCACCTACAGGGCAACTACTGGCTGGTTACCTTGAGGAGTCCTAAAAGGATGCCTGCCCCTTCAGAGGATTGACCATGGCCTGGTATCTGACCCCCAATGGTGTAGGCTCAGGATTGATTTTATTACCACAAGGAGTGTGTGCTCTTCCAGGGCAGACTCATACTAACCAAACTCATAACACTGATGCACAAAACTACAGCTTCTCAGGGAAGGACCATGGCCACGAGGCCCAGACCACATACCTCAGTATGCCAGGACTGTCTCTTCCCAGAAGAAAGCCTCCCTGGGAAGTTAAACCTTATATCAGGAGGCTGCTTGCTGAGAATGAATTCATATCAAGAAAAATCTCACAAGGAAAATAGTGGCATCAGACTGGCCATCCACCAAAGGCCTAGGTCTGGACTCTAATGATTTTCCTGCCCCAAGACAATGCCTGCATGGACACTCATAGTTCTCCTCTCTGTGACTTTCTTTAGTGATGCATTTCTGACTAGCCATCCCATTGTCCATGTTGGCTGAGGCACCAAGTTCTGGAAAGTCCTGTCTCTGTAGTTTGAACTGCTTGATGTTTACTGGGTAAACAACTCTGCTTCCCAGACTTTAGAAGAGTCATGTCCCTCAGCTTTTTGGCTGCCTTGCCTATGAGGGGAGGGGTTGTTGGTGGACTCACTGTGGGATAGAGTTTAGTCCAGGGAAGGGGTCTAAGGGCCAGTACTTTGACCCTAAATTTTCTGGTTGATTTGACTGCAGATTTTCTGGGTGAGTGTATGAACTTCAGAAAGTTAGCATCTCTGAAACTGTGACTATATTTCTGTCTTAGCAGCTAGGAAGTGGAGAACCAAATTTGTGGTTTTTTCTGGCAACAGTGTAAGATCATGAGGCACACATTAACTGTGCTGATCTGAGGATCTCTGGCTTCTTGTTTTTGTTTTTTGTTTTTTTTTCCCTACAATCTGCTCAACAATTGTTTTATACTTTTATATTTTTGTAAGCTGTCTCATACAAGCCTCTTTCCATAAACAGAATTGAGAGCTCAAAAATCTCAATGTGCATGCTGGCAATGAATTTCTATATATAAAAGAGAAATAGCTGTAAATTTCTTGGGACACTTGAGAAAGAAAATGTAATTTTGTGAAGTTATTTGAACTCCTCAGATAGAAAATGCAATTTTATAGTTCTATGTGAGTACAATTGCCTTATCTATGAGATTTGGCTGAACTTCTTGCATATGAGGGAGAAAAATGGTAAAGATGGAATGGGAGTGGGGAGGACTTTATGCACACAAGAAGGACTTTGTGAACATTGGGAGGACTTTACGCATGGGGGCGAACTTCATGTGTATCTCTTGGGTACAATAGGAGTGTAAAGAGGGGCAAGAGAGTTAGAAGTCTCAAAGAGTCTCCGATTGAAAATGAAGGACTTCAAGGAGGAGCTTTCTAGGAACCTTACTTCTTTTCACTGGAAATGTGAAGCTCCTTGCTTCATGGGGTTTGCAGACTGGTTGTTTCCCTGTGTTGGGACCATGGAGATATCTAGCCCAAATTCATTGCAAAAATGAAGAAACTGAGGTCCAAAGACAGGATGTAACTTGCTCAAAATCACCAACATTTAGCAGCCAAACAAGGGTAGAATCTGGGTTGGGGGTCTCACAGCACAGCTCATTTTCTCCAGGCTCCTGCCTGACACTTCTCCTACCTATTTCCAGTTTACTCTCTGTTTAATTCTGCACTATGAATGTACCATTGTCCTTCCCTCCCCTCACTCCCAGATCGGAGACAGAAAGATGCCTTCAAGGAATATTTTGCAACAGACCAGTTTTGTGTATTTCATTTAGGGAATAACTTCAGTGGCAAGTAAGATTTAAAAATGGCATAGATAACATACAAAAATCTGTTTTTCTATCAAGCAGTGGAAAACTCAGAGGTAGACAATCTGTTGCTGCCACATCACCCATACGTGTTGATGGTGATTCTAGGACCTCCCGTGTAGCTCAGTCATCCTTTGTGTTTATGTGACCGATGATGGTCTCAGGATGGCTCCAGGAGCACCGGCCATATTATTATTCTAATTAAGAAGCATAGAGAAGGGGTTCTGAGTGATAATCATGACAGATGGGAGGCAGAACTAGATTGCAGCTTCGACTCAAATGGACAGAGCAGGGTGTGGAGGCTCACATCATGAATTTTAGCTCCAGAACGACTGCAAGAACAAACCAGCAATCCCGAGAGGACCCACAGACCCTCTGAAGGAAGCTTACTGCTTGTGCAGGACCTGGGAGACATCCCAAATACTGTGAGTGCCTCAACTGCAGAAGTGGGAAAGGGAGAACCTCCGTCCCTGAACATACACCTCCACTGGGCCAGCAGCATTTTTCCCACTGGGGAAAATGAAAGTCTAGTTTGCAGGAAAAGTTTCCTACCTTACCTGGAGCTGAGTCAATTTGGAGAGCTGAGTGAAATGCAGGGGTAGAGGAAGCAGTGGGAAAGGCCCTGGGAGCTTGCTGCGTCCCCAAGCAGGCCATTCCTGTCTGGCACCATAGGGATCCTTTGGGAGGATGGCCAGAGGCAGTGGGGGGAATGCCACAGAGAGAAGAGTCTCCAGCTGAACTTTGTAACAATTTGAACCAGGCAAGAAGCCTGCTGGCCAGAACCCAGGGGAGGGTGCAAATCCAGTGTGCAGACTCCACAGGCTGGGGAAGAGCCAAAGCCCTGTTCTTTTGAAGCTGGGAGGCGGGTAGCCTGGGGCGGGTTCTTAGCCCTGCTTGCCCACTGCCTGGAAACAGACTCAGTGCTGTTAGCTGGGGGCATGGTGGGAGTGAGACCAGCCCTTCAGATTGTGTAGGAGCTGGGAAAGGGCTCTGACTACCAGCTTTCCTCCACTTCCTTGACAACTTGCATGATTCAGCAGAGGCAGTCATAATCCTCCTAGGCACTCAACTCCAGTGATCTGGAAATCTTACTTCAATCCCCCATAGCAGCCAAGAAAGACCCGCCTAAGGAGGGTCTCAGCTCAGACACGCCTAGCGCTGCCCCCACCTGATAGGCCTTCCCTGTCCACCCTGGTAGCTGAAGACAAAGGACATATACTCTTGGGAGTTCTAGGGCTCCATCCACCACCAGTTCCTCTCCATAATACCACAGCTAATGCTCTCTGGAAGGCACCACCTCCTGGCAGGAGACCAACTAGCATAAAAATAGAACATTAAACCATCAACGCTAAGGAGCCTCACAGAGTCCATTCCACCACCCTACCACCTCCAACAGAACAGGTGCTGGTATCCACGGCTGAGAGACCCATAGACGGTTCACATCACAGGACTCTGTGCAGACAAGCCCCAGTACCAGCCCGGAGCCAGGTAGACTTGCTGGGTGGCTAGACCCAGAAGAGAGATAACAATCACTGCAACTGTCTCTCATGAAGCCACAACTATAGGAAAGGAGGAAGAGTACTACATCAAGGAGGGAGCACCCCATGGGACAAAAGAATCTGAACAATAGCCTTCAGCCTTAGACCTTCCCTCTGACAGATCCTACCCAAATGAGAAGGAACCAGAAAACCAACTCTGGTAATATGACAAAAGAAGCTCTTTAACACCCCCCAAAAATCACACCAGCTCACCAGCAATTGATCCAAACCAAGAAGAAATCCCTGATTTACCTGAAAAAGAATTCAGGAGGTTAGTTATTAAGCTAATCAGGGAGGTACTAGAGAAAGGCAAAGCCCAATGCAAGGAAATTAAAAAAAAAAAAAAACCAATACAAGAAGTGAAGGGAGAAATATTCCAGGAAATAGATAGCATAAAGAAAAAAACAATCAGAACTTCAGGAAACATTGGACACACTTATAGAAATGCAAAATGTTTTGGAAAGTCTCAGCAATAGAATCGAATAAGTAGAAGGAAGAAATTCAGAGCTCAAAGACAAGGTCTCCAAATTAACCCAATCCAATAAGACAAAGAAAAAAGAATAAGAAAATATGAACAAAGCCTCCAAGAGGTCTGAGATTATGTTGAACCACTAAGCCTAAAAATAATTGGTGATCCTGAGGAAGAAGAGAAATCTAAAAGTTTGGAAAACATATTTGGGGAAATAATCAAGGAAAACGTCCCCAGCCTTGCTAGAGACCTAGACATCCAAATATAAGAAGCAGGAAGAACACCTGGGAAATTCATCCCAAAAAGATCGTTGCCTAGGCACATTGTCATCAGATTATCTAAAGTTAAGAGAAAGGAAAGAATCTTAAAAGTTGTGAGATAAAAGCACCAGATAACTTATAAAGGAAAACCTATCAGATTAATAGCAGATTTCTCAGCAGAAACCCTACAAGCTACAAGGGATTGGAGCCCTATCTTCAGCCTCCTCAAACAAAACCATTATCAGCCAAGAAGTTTGTATCCAGTGAAACTAAGCATCATATATGAAGGAAAGATACAGTCTTTTTCAGACAAACAAATGCTGACAGAATATGCCACTACCAAGCCACCAATACAAGAACTGCTAAAAGGAGCTCTAAATCTTGAAACAAATCCTGGAAACACATCAAAACAGAATCTCTTAAAGCATAAATCATACAGGACGTATAAAACGAAAACACAATTTAAAAAGCAAAAACAAGAAACAAAGTAAACCAAGGCACACAGACAACAAATGGCACGATGAATACAATGGTATCTCACATCTCAATGCTAACATCGAATGTAAATGGCCTAAATGCTCCACTTAAAACCTACAGAACTGCAGAATGGGTAAGAACTCACCAACCATCTGCTGCCTTCAGGAGCCTAACCTAACACATAGGGACTTACATAAACTTAAAGTAAAGGGGTAGAAAAAGGCATTTCATGCAAATGGACACCAAGACCAAGCAGGGGCAGTTGTCCTTACATCAGACAAAACAAACTTTGAAGCAATAGCAGTTAAAAGAGACAAAGAGGGACATTATATAATGGTAAAAGACCTTGTCCAACAGGAAAATATCACAATCCTGAACATATATGCACCTAACACTGGAGCTCCCTGATTTATAAAACAATTACTAATAGACCTAAAAAATGAGATAGACAGCAACACAATAATAGTGAGGGATTTCAATACTCCACTGACAGCACTAGACAGGTCATCAAGACAGAAAGTCAACAAAGGAACAATGGATTTAAGCTATACCATGGAACAAATGGACTTAACAGATATATACAGAACATTTCATCCAACAACCACAGAATATACATTCTATTCAAGAGTGCATGGAACTTTCTCCAAGATAGACCATAAGATGGACAATATGATAGGCCATAAAATAAGCCTCAATAAATTTACGAAAATTGAAATTATATCAAGCACTCTCTCAGACCACCATGGAATAAAACTAGAAATCAACTCCAAAGGGAACCTTCAAAACCATGCAAGTACAAGGAAATTAAATAACCTGCTCCCAAATAAGCATTGGGTTGAAACAAAATCAAGATGGAAATTTAAAAAGTCTTTGGACTGAACAACGATAATGACACAACCTATCAAAAGCTCTGGGATACAGCAAAGGCAGTGCCAAGAGGAAAGTTCATAGCCCTAAATACCTACATCAAAAAGAGTGGAAGAGCACAAACTGACAACCCAAGGTCACACCTTAAGGAACTAGAGAAACAAAAATAAACCAAACCCAAACCCAGCAGAGGAAAGAAAATAACCTGAGCAGAACTAAATGAAATTGAAACAAACAAACAAAAAAAATACAAAAAATAAATGAAACATAAAGCTGGTTCTTTGAAAAGATAAATAAAATAGATAGACCATTATCAAGATTAATCACGAAAAGAAAGAAAATTCAAATAACTTCATCAGGAAATGAAATGAGAGAATATTACAACTGACACCACTGAAATACAAAAGATCATTCAAGGCTACTACGAATACCTTTACACACATAAACTGGAAAACCTAGAAGAGATGGATAAATTCCTGGAAAAATACAATCCTCCTAGCTTAAATCAGGAAGAATTAGATACTCTGAGCAGACCAATAACAAGCAGCGAGATTGAAATGGTAATTTAAAAATTTTCAATAAAAAAAGTCCAGAACTGGATGGATTCACAACAGAATTCTACCAGACATTCAAAGAAGAATTGGTACCAATCCTTTTTTCACTATTCCACAAGATAGAGAAAGAGGGAACCCTCCCTAATTAATTCTATGAAGCCAGCATCACGCTAATACCAAAACCAGGAAAGGACGTAACCAAAGAAGAAAACTACAGACTGATATCCCTGATGAACATAGATGCTAAAATCCTTAACAAAATACTAGCTAACTGAATTCAACAGCATATCAAAAAGACAATCCACCATGATCAAGTGGGTTTCATACCAGGGATACAGGGATGGTTAAACAAATGCAAGTCAATAAATGTGACAAACCACATAAACAGAATTAAAAACAAAAATCACATGATCATCTCAATAGATACAGAAAAAGCATTTGACGAAATCCAGCATCCTTTATGATTAAAACTCTCAGCAAGATTGGCATATAAGGGACATGCCCTAATGTAATAAAAGCCATCTACGACAATCCCACAACCAATATAATACTGAATGGGGAAAAGTTGAAAGCATTTCCTCTCAGAACTGGAATAGGACAAGGATGCCCACTCTCACTACTCCTCTTCAACATAGTACTGGAAGTCCTAGCCAGAGCAATCAGACAAGAGAAATAAATAAAGGGCATCCAGATTGGTAAAGAGGAAGCCAAACTGTCACTGTTTGCTGAAAATATGATCGTTTACCTTGAAAACTCTAAAGACTCCTCCAGAAAACTCCTAAGAACGATCAAAGAATTCAGCAGTTTCCAGATAGAAGATTAATGTACACAAATCAGTGGCTCTTGTATACACCAATAGCGACCAAGCAGAGAATCAAATCAAGAACTCAAGCCCTTTTACAATAGCTGCAAAAATAAATAAATAAATAAATAAATAAAAATGTATTTAATTTTATTTATTATAAATAAATAAAATAAATAAAAATGTATTTTTTTAAATTACCTAACCAACCAACCTAACCAACGAGGCAAAAGACCTCTACAAGGAAAACTACAGAACGCTACTGAAAGAAATCATAGAACACACAAACAAATGGAAACTCATCCCATGCTCATGGATGGGCAGAATCAATATTGTGAAAATGACCATACTGCCAAATGCAGTCTACAAATTCAATGCAATTCCCATCAAAATACCACTAGAATTCTTCATAGAATTAGAAAAAGCAATTCCAAAATGTATATGGAACCAAAAGAGAGCCCACATATCTAAAGCAAGACTAAGCAAAAACAACAAATCTGGAGGCATCACACTAACTGATTTCATGCTACACTATAAGGCCGTAGTCACCAAAATAGCATGGTACTGGTATAAAAATAGGCACATAGGCCAATGGAACACAACAGAGAACTCAGAAATAAACCCAAATACTTACAGCCAAATGATCTTTGACAAAGCAAACAAAAACAAAGTGGGGAAAGAACACCCCTTTCAAAAAGTGGTCCTGGGATAATTGGCTAGCCACATGT